GGGGCGGAATGTGCATTGGGGCGAACTGACTGTGAATCCTGGGCCGAGCTGTCCAATGAAAAACAAGTCGAGAATTTTTTGGGTCGAGATGTCCAGTACTCGGCGATAACCTCTGTCATTGAAGTAGCCAGGTATCTTTTGCGATTCATTGTAGTCGTATAGTCGTTACCAGTTTTTTTTTTTTTTTTTTTTTTTTAGCAGAGAGCCAACAGGGGTCTCAAGAGGGACTGCGGTTTAAAATAGCCAACTACATAACACGTACGTTATCTGGTGGTGTTTAGGGGCGGGACAGTGTACAAGGCAAGGCAAGTATTTGGTTTCCGAAAAAAACAAGAAGTGCACAAGTATGTCAAGGATTATGGTCACACATGAAAACACATTACTCCGAAACGAATAACACATTACTCAACCCTCACATTTGGCCCTAAATCCTATTAGAGTGGAAAACCGAAATTATATTGTCATTTGAAAAACACTTTCAGGACTCAAAGCAAAAACAACGTTCGATTATTCTTTGTAACTCACCAGTTCGAATTTAGCGTTGGTCTTGCATAATTCATGTGATCAGATCGCAAATACAAGGATCCTTTGCGCTCAACAAAGTCGGGCAATGCCATATAATATGTCATCTTGACCGATTATATCGCGTATATTGACGAAATCCTTGTAGAACTGTAAATATCGGCTCAGAGTGTTGTGGCCAAAACACGATCAATGCACACCTTTGTTGTGACGATGCGCTGAGACACATACCCGGAAGTGAAAAGATTCCGCTGCACAAAGAAAATAGTTCCACATTCAAGTGCTATTCTTTTGGCAGAAAATAATTGAAGAATGAAGGAAAAATATTTTTCAACATATACAACTCGTTTAGAATTAATTTATTTCAAAAATTGTTCGACAATTCACGTGAGAGTGATAGCTAAATATATTTAGCAGCAAAGTATTTTAAAATCCATCCGCACAATGGAACGAGTTTGTTGGTGTGTTCGTTGCTTAGCTACAAATTAGTGCAACCTTTGACCCGTCAAAGAAAAAGCTATCGTATTTAACATTTTTATTTTTAGCAAAATAATCACTTACTGTGGACAAACAATTCGAATGGATTTTTTTAATGTGCGTAAAAAATAAAAAAAATAACTTTCAAAATAAAATAATACACATTACCCACGATGCTTTGTGGATCATATGACTTTTAATAATGGCGGACATTGCGAACGAAAATAAGTGAACGGTTTCTATTTCCGCTATTTCAAGGAATTCGATTTTTTGTTCGCAAAGACGTTCGAATCAAAGCTAATATTCTACTTTCAGAGAAACACCAGGTTAGTGAAATGTAGTATGCAACGTTTGTTTGTAATTGGTTTCAAGTTGAGTCTGATAAGCCACTGGTACCATGGAGGTACTGCTTGACAATGACACTCGGGCTCAGCTGGCAGCGCCCCTCTTCGACCGGGCATTTTTTTTTTTTTTTTTTTAATTGTGGGAAAGACTTTCCAATGTACCACCACCCCTTAACCTAACTCCAATCCTAACCCCAGCCTCGAAATTCAGTTGTCCTAAAGGGGA